GGGTATTTACAGACTTACAATGTTAGGGAGTGGCTGTGACATTTTGTCAACTAAAACGGAAAATTTTCTAGGCTATGAAAGTACTGAAAATACACTTATAGTCCGTAAGCTGAAATTCCATGCATGTGCTTTGTTAACGACTCAAAAAAAAACTTTAAAATTGCTATAATAGTACAACTGATGTTTTTGGCCATAAATATCGTGTGTTTTTTGCTTCGATTCAAAATTCATTTTGAGCCCGTAAGTCTCTAAAGACTCTGTTGTTATATTTTATTCCCCAAACATTACTCAGTACAAACCCTTCAAATACAAGCAAGTGTCAAGTTGAACTCTACGCTCATCTAGCTATATTACATAATCTTCAGCTATTTTAGGATTTCAGAATTGTCTGGCCCTGGCCTGGTCTGCTTACATTTCAAACAACCAATGCATCATGGCAAACTAACAATTTAGCTACGGGCCTACGGCATTAGTCATTATAAGCGATCTAGCTCGATACAAATCAAACTAAAGCGTTGAATAATTTCTATATCGTCCTGAAATTCTCTTTGTCTTTAAAAAAATAAATTTTGTCAACTTTCTGTAGTTGGCGTCGACCAAAAATATCACAATTCGTCCGATAGTAATGCATCGCTTGTTTATAGACATGTTTCTAACGTCTATAGTAGTATGAGTAATCAGTTGTGACTGAACCCCGAAGCCGAAGGATTTTATATATCACCTTCTATGCAGTTTAGAAGTTTCCGGCCGAGTTATCAACTCAAACAGTCAAAATCAAACAGTAATTTCCTCAAATCCAGTCGACAATATTGAATGTAGCGGAATATACAATGTAATACCAATAAAAAATTTCCTGCAATATCGAATTCACTTCCTGGCCACCGGTTCAAACTGTTCCAATCGGTTCAGTTTACTGCGCCATATACGTGTTCAAAAGATTTCTAAAAATGTGTTTGTGAATCTGAACGCCAGTAATATATTCCGCGATGTCGAAGATCGCCTTGTTTTAACGCTTTAATACATCAACTTGTGCAAACACTGGGTCTATTCCGTGTTGTCTGCTGAAGTGCACGCGATAAGAGCAAAGAGGGCAACCTCTTAATAACTCGAATATTTTACAATATCGTCAGATTCCAACCGATTACAATCCTTCACAGAACTCCGATGACCTCTTCTAAATATTACAGCTTTGAAAGCCTTTGAAGATTACCGACACGGCCTTGGCAGCGAATTTAGAAATTGCAATCGAGATATGAAATTACTCCCGACGGTCAAAAAAATTACAGCAATGCCAATGCCAATGATACGCTAAATATACAATTGCGATCCCAAATAAATATCACTGTTTTATTAACAAAACAATTTCGACCCGAGTGCCCTCACGATCAATGCCAAATTTCAACTGTGAAACCAGGGGTAAAAATCACAACTTTAAGCTGCAAGTTCTCCACATAATACTACGAATAACACCAACTGTGCGTCTCAAGAATATAATATTCGAAGTGCTTTTATATAAAAAGTTCGGTTTATGAAGCTATCGTCATAACCACCTGCAATGTTGTTATTATATGTATGTTAATTGTAGCATGACGTTGCTTCCTGTGAAGCCATGCATGTAAAAACCAAAAGTCATTAAAACTATCACACTTGTGCTGTAATGAATACTGATATTTCATCACTGTGGTTTTGAACGAAAGCGCGTAGAAATTGGGCTGTATCGGCTAAAAGTAGACTTTATTTCCACAGGGTGTCACAAATGATGTAGCTAATTGCCTATATGGAAGTTTTTTATACCCAGACGGTCTCAGGTTTGAAAGTAGATCCGCTAACGATTTTACCCCAATATGTAAAACCTTAACGAATTAAGCTAGGTTACATGGATTTCACATGTCATAATTCGTCGTAAATTTGATAACGCGTATTGCATTCCGACGACTAATCCAATTCACACAAAATCCAAATTACAACGAATTATGCTGAGGTAACATCGTTAAAGAAAAATTCATAAAATATACGAATCAGCAATATTTGCTTTGGAAATGAAAAATTTTCTAAGGCAAATATTATGGAAGATAACACCGAAGAATTAATTACGTTTTCATAACTAAGTAAACATTAATTTCGATATCTTGCCTAAAAAGATCATTACTTTTCTCCGCATCATTTGTGAGATGCATTGCCTCTTTCGTTGCATATAGAGTGCTGATATCTAAAATTGGTAATAAACAATAGCGCGAGCTCTTTTTTTCTGTCCCCCTAAATCCTCTCGTTCGGAAAGGTCATATTTCGAATTTGAATTTGTTCAATGACTTACGTTTTCGTGTTCCATCGCTGACAGCTCTTAACAAGCCGAATATGTCGAATATCGAGGACTGTACTAGCTTTGATTTGGACGGCAGAGGTTATTGCATGATTTCCTTTTGAACAAATCTGGACGAACAGTTAGGTCGCGCGAGAAAAACATACAATTTTGGGCTGCCTATATTCTGATTATGGTCCTTAACGATGTTGACGGTGAAAACGTCTCTATTTCTCTGCTAAGAAATTTACAACTGGAGCAGAGAAACACTTGCAGCGTCTTGAGAGTTGAGATGCGAGCGTTGCACAAAGGACATTGGTGATTTTAGCAGTAGATGGAGCCTAGAATCCCAATACCACTCTCTTAAACCTCGAGAATTAAGCCAGGATAGTGCCATATATATATATATTAATATATATATATATATATATATTATATATAATTATATATATATATATTATATATATATTTATAATATATAATATATATTATATATATACCCATTTGCAAAAACGTTGGCCGCAGATAGACAGATAGATAGATACTCAAAGTCTAATTAGAATTGCATATGATTACATTTGCATGGGATTTCAATCATATTACACAACATATGCAATTCTAATTAGATTTCGAGTATCTATCTATATATCTATCTGCGGCCAACGTTTTTGCAAATGGGTGTATATTATATATATATATATATATAATATATATATATATATATATATATATATATATATATATATATATATTGGTTGTATTGTATAGAAAGGTTGGAAGTAAAGGTTGCATGTAAATGGTTGTATAAAAAGGTTGTTACAAATTTATGTAGCTGATAAGAAGTTACAGATTGTAGTTGTTGGCTGACGATGTTCTGCGCTATGACGATCTAATTAATCCAGAGCATAAATTGATTTGTTATCTTTGAACTTGGACGAAAAGCGGGGCAGTGCAGGCAGTGTAGGAGGTAGAGTTGCTTTCACAATTATGTTTCTTCCCTTAATTTCACAGCCCTCTTGAAGTCGACTAGCAGTAATCATCTTTTTCCACTAACTGCGTCACAACGAGGGCATTCAGTTTGCAAGAGGACCACGAGGCAGTTTAAATTCCTAGTTGGATTCTCTGCTTTGTTAATCATCAGAGATCAAGCATGCATGCAAAAGTATGCCAAACATCTTCCTTGTGATATGTGATAACATGGAGCTGGAAAGAGTTTCCTCGCAAGAAAACACTGTGAGGATTCTAGTTAAATGAGAGTTTTAATTTTTAAAGTGACCTTTTAGCCAGTCCAAATGCAGATGGTTACGATTTTAACAAAAGCATCCGTACAAACCAGGAGAGGTAACGTGGCACGTGTCGACATAGGAAGCCCAGACAAATGAGTTGAAGTTAATAAAAATCCGTAAAACACTTGAGATATGTGTTAAAATTAATTAAAGTATGTTATATGCTACAAAACTACTGTTAGAACCATGTATGTAGCGTGCTCCAGAGGCGCTGCCATTTGACTATGCAACTAGTGACGTAACTTACTATATTATTAGCACTGGCGTAGCCAGCATCGATAATTGGGGGGGTCCACATTCATATATTCATGTAAACAGACTGTAAAGACAATTGATTTGAAAAGAAATTAATCCTGCGTATCACGAATATATGAATATGGACCCCCCCAATTATCGTTCTGGCTACGCCGCTGATTATTAGGAAGGATGGAAACTCTCGCCTCAATTTTCAACATGTTCACAAATTAAAACACAAATTACTATAGTAAAACGGCACGTCGACTGCTAAATGCCTACCCTAGGTTTAAGTTGAATAATCAAACTATACTTTCATCACAAAAATAATACTGAATTCAAAAGAAAGCGCTGGAAAAACGTACACAAACTTTGTAAATTTGCCGAAATTTACGTGAATTCATGCGGGATGTAAGTACCTACCCAAAATGGCAGCGGCAAAAGAATCTGATTGGTTTATCATACTTTGTTTACCTTTCTCGACCAATCAGATTGGTTTATCATACTTTGTTTACCTTTCTCGACCAATCAGATTCTTCTGCCGCCACCATTTTGGGTAGGTACTTACATCCCGCATGAATTCACGAAAATTTCGGCAAATTTACAAAGTTTGTGCACGTTTTTCCAGCGCTTTCTTTTGAATTCAGCATTATTTTTGTGATGAAAGTATAGTTTGATTATTCAACTTAAACCTAGGGTAGGCATTTAGCAGTCGACGTGCCGTTTTACTATAGTAATTTGTGTTTTAATTTGTGAACATGTTGAAAATTGAGGCGAGAGTTTCCATCCTTCCTAATGATATAGTAAGTTACGTCACTAGTTGCATAGTCAAATGGCAGCGCCTCTGGAGCACGCTACATACATGGTTCTAACAGTAGTTTTGTAGCATATAACATACTTTAATTAATTTTAACACATATCTCAAGTGTTTTACGGACTTTTATTAACTTCAACTCATTTGTCTGGGCTTCCTATGGTGTCGACAAATTAACGAAAATTTAAATGAACGTCGGGAGTCCGGGACCACTGGCTGGACAGACCCACTGAGCTATATAATAATTCAATTTTGGAATTATTATATAGCTCAGTGGACAGACCCTGGTAAGCAGGCTATTTTACCCACTGAGTGATTTTACCCTGGATGCTGGACCCCGGGGTGAAATTTCCGTACACAAAAGTACTTTCAAATTTTCACAATAAAAAATTAAAAATGTATTTGTTTATATAAGTTATTTTTGTACTTTGGCCTCTGTAAATTTGTGGTACAAATCTGGACACTGGTACGGAAAATCCTTGCTAAATCTCTTTCAAAATGAACATTCCTCTGGGTTTTCGTCTTACGTTTTCAATTACCATACCATTATTTATAGTCAACCGTGGCTACAAGAAGAAATCATTAAGTTTAAGTGGTGCTTGGTCGTCACTTATTGTTGGATTCTTATTAACTTTCACGAATTTTTGTTTTTTCTCTGCCCTCCTCGCGTTTTTCGTATCTGGGTCGATTGTCACTAAACTGAAGTCGGAAGCAAAACGGAGCATCGAATATGATTTTAAAGAAGGTTTGTTCCTATTTAATATATTATCAGTTACCTCTGCAAAGTTTTAACAAGCTTAAATATTTGCTTGAAGTTATACCCCAATATGAGAGTAAATTAAAAATTAACAGTTTTAAGAGAAAATCAATCTCTAATGTGTTATTATACCACTATGTTAAAATAATAACAGGGCTCCTCCAAAACGCTGTTTTCCATAGTATATACCATATAAATATGTATACTATGGAAACCAGCGTTTTGGAGGAGCCCTGTTTATATTATTTTAACGTGGTGGTAATAACACATTAGAGAATGATGTGCTCTTGATATAATGGACCGATCACCCAAGAAAGTGAAAAATTATGCAATATATAAAGTAACCCCATATAGATTTGTGTGGTGACAGTTTTGTTCCCAAAGTTATGTTGGGAACCCATTTATTATTCCCTATATTATTTTGGAATACAGACACCAAGACATCAGTGACCCTTGACCACAATTATAATCATCAATATATAGTAGATAATTCATCTGTTTGTTCATGGGTTGATTAATGAATGCAATAGTAGAGATTCCAATGAATGCTCAAACACAAACAGGCTTTATAATTCATATTTATTATATAGGTGGTCAGCGTAATTGGGTTCAAGTTGTATGCAATGGAGGAGTTGCTGTTGCTGCTTCTGTATTGTATCTCCTTGATGTTGGTTGCCTAGAGCAACCAATTGACTTTGCTCATGACTTTAATGCTTCTATTATTTCAATTGCTTTGCTTGGCTCATTAGCCTGCTGTAGTGGTGATACATGGGCTTCAGAAATTGGATCAGTGTATGGTAGAAACCCTCGTTTGATAACAACCTTTCGTCATGTACCTGTTGGAACTAATGGTGGAGTAACAATAATTGGTACAATTGCCAGTTTAGTGGGAGGCACCATAGTTGGTGTTGCTTATTATGTTACTATAGTGGCAGTAATGGCATTTGATATGACACTTAACAAGTACCCACCACAGTGGCCTATAGTTGTAACTGGACTGCTGGGTGGCATCCTTGGATCATTATTTGACTCGCTAATTGGTGCTAAATTGCAGTATTCTGGGTACTGTGAGGTCAACAAAAGAATAGTTCATGAATCATCTGAAACTACAAAACACATTTGTGGAAAAGCAATTCTGAGTAATCATGGTGTTAATTTTGTGTCTTCATTGGTAACGGCATTTGTTATGCCAGTCATTGCATATGTGTTGTGGAAATATGTTTAATTTTGAGTGTTGTGTTTAAATTGAGTTATTATGTGTGACAAATGCGACATTAGTTGTGCATGCAATCATGTCAGAGCCCAGAAGAATGATAACAAATCATAGCAATCCAAGACAAGTGCATTCTAAGACAAGAATTACTTGACAACTGAAATTTTTGCGCTGGTCTTTTTCACCTGCTGCTAAGTACATTGTCTGCTGGACAACAAAATGTTTCCTTGTACATTTCTTCCCGTAATGTAATAATCACCCAAGACAAGAGCATTCAGACTAACTCTGGTTAGCCACTAATGCTCCATAACTACCTCCTTATCTCTGTTTGGGACTCAGATAAGGTTCCCATGGATATAAGTCTTATAAGCTAAGGTCTGGATTTTAGCTTACATATCAGGCACGTTGCCTAGTCAGTGGGTCATGGAGTGTCATTAGTTTGTTTTATGCTAATTTATTTTGTAATTGTGTAATTTAATATTAAATTGTAATCATTGGTAGTTATAGACTGAACAATTTTAGGTAAATTAAATGCTTGAATTGTTATATTATTGATATAACACAAACAGTGAATGTTGTATTAGTTTGACCACCAAAGTGTCCCTCCCTCACCCAAGTGAAACCATAGCTAAATGTGTGGTGTATCTGACTCAGTGGCAGATCCAGGATAAATATCTGAATAAATGACCACAGCTCCAACTTCCAGTCATATTGGTAGATATTTATGTAAGAATATTCTTTAGAAATGAATAACCAATCAGGTTTTTGAATTGGAGATTAGGCTGGTGTAATTTATATTTTGAATAACCCTGAACCACCACTGATCTGATTCACCATAAAATTAAATTTTTGGAACTCATGTACACATACATATTACTCAAGGACTTCTTCTGTACAGAATGTACAATAGCTGTAAGCAATGAAAATTACATAAAATTATTTTCAAATGAGACATTGTTTATCTGTAAATTATTCAAGAGAATCATCACTTGACTATCTCAAAAGCCATGTAATGGGTTAATTTATTATAATTAGTTTTAGCTAAACTTCATCCTCCCTTTAGCAAAAACACATTTCAAGCAAAACAAATTGAAAATCAGGAAGTAAAATGAGTCAACCATATTATTTTAAAGTTCATGCTCAAATCTTACAACTAATTACTAATAACACATAAATATTGTTGATCTATCAAGTAATCCACTGTTACACGCAAAGATAAAATGCTCCAAATGTTCCATTTGATGAAACAGTTTTAATGGTAATATGGCAATAAAGCATAAGTGATTTATCACTAGCTGAAGATCAACCACAATTATAAAAGCCTTGATGTAATTTCTTGTGATGTAGCAAAATTGTTGACAATTATGTTTAGCAATACTAGTTACATGGTAAAGGTATTTGAATGATCCTATTTCCCAAAAAAGGTATATGCAAAGGAATGAAGAGTTTTGCCAAATACATAAAATTCCCTATCTAAAATCAATGTCATGGTAATATACTACATTCCCATGTTTGAATTTACAAAATAATGTACTATACAGATTTGTTTATTTGTTTCCTGTTCTCATAGACCACATTACAAAGAGTATACCAACACCTAAGACTGCTGCCACTGTTGACCAACTGGGTTCACTGAGTCGAAAATCTGCCAAAAAGCCAAGCTAAAAGAGAGAAATATTTGAGTATCCTATAAATAATATCAATTTGGAATGAAAAACATTTAGGAATGACAATGTTCCCTTGAAATATTTTAAATACAATTTTTTTTATTCAAGAGATTATACACAATGCCTTGGTGGAAAACACTATTAAATCCCCAAGGGTGATTCCATGTTGTGCATGACATCCCTACACTGTTTACTTTCTTTGTGTATCAGAGATGCTTCCTTATACTTTTTACAATTTGAAAAAAACAATATCTGGTGGATTGCACTATTCAGCTTTTGTTATTCAGCCTAGATTGCACTATTCAGCCTGGAATTTGAAACTATTAAAAATACCTTAGGCACTAATAAGAACAAACAATCTTGAGAACAAATTGGAATTTCCAAAGAAATTGTAAGATTGCTTTACATATACACCATGTATGGGAAAACACTGACAATTTACCATGGGAATTCATATAATATACTAAAATAAAATTGAATTAAAAAATCGAAAATGGTAGAGGAAAGGGGGAGGATCGAAATAAATTCTGAATTACTTACCCAGCCCCCATTCTGTGTTATCCAAGCTGCAATCCTTTCGTTCACGATGAAATCAACTATCATCTGGTATATTTTTCTCATGTACGTTCCAGCTAGTCCATTTATCAAAACATGTTTAGCGATTTCGTATCCAAAACACAGAAGAGCGACGATACGATGCCAAGTAATACCATTCCTAAACAATCTTCGCGCAACTTCGGCAAAAGATTTGTAAGCGTTTGCCGAATTCAGATTTAGTTGATTAATCATATCTTGAAATTCGTCTTGATATTTATGCTGTATATCATCTCCAATCTCGCGTAGACGTCTGCTAACTCTTACGGCAGTTGAATCAGGGTCGTTTTCTTCACGAACGCTTCGCAATTCTTCTAAAGCATCTGGCCTTGCCGTTTCGAGCACAGGGATTTCATCTTGACCTGTAGAGTCTAAACCCTCGTTTTCCTCTTCGAATCTGTCGTAAACAAACTGCCTAACAATGCTGGCTGTTTCAGTCTTTAACATTGCGTCCGTATCACAGTCCGATAAGCTTGTATTTGAGTCGTTTTCGTCTGAATTTGAATCTCCTTCGCCGGCAAAACTTGCCATCACTTTTTTACGACGACATTGCAAAAAGTATTTTACAATAAACTAGTGGATAATTAGGGATAATTGTGAATATTTGAACATATGAATTGCGCACAGAAAACAGACTGAATCTCATTCAGTCACTGATCTCATTACAAAAATTTGCATCGTTACACCTTACTGCGTTATACATAGAGGGTGCCCTCCAAAAATGTCCCATCTATTGAAATCAAGCCTTTGTTAATATCTGATTGCCTTAATATTATGATAAACTCAATTAAAAGCAAGACGCTTTATTTGAATGCCCCAACCTAATAACCATGCTATTTACACACACTACTGCGTAAGTCTACGTTGCATGACCATGCATTCAAAATTTCAAATTCTAACAAAAGCTTCATTTCAATAGGGCCATAGGGGGACTTTTTTGGGGGACGCCCTGTACAGCGCCTATCAAAGAATGGTAACCTAACTTAAGCGTGCTATTGTGCGTAAATTACTTGATCAGCGACAGCAAGTGAAATCATAGGCAGCCCAGAAATCTGTTTTGTTTACGCGCGCGGTCAGCTTCTCTTGCCAGTACTAATTACTGTATAATTAACATATAATACAGTAATTAGTACAGGCAGGAGAAGCTGACCGCGCGCGTAAACAATGCAGTCGAAGACTGAATATAAACAGATTTCTGGGCCGCCTATGGTGAAATCAGAAATTTTGTAATATGATAGATCATGCTTTTCGCTGTTGAATGCTGTAATAAGGTTATTTTCTATTGGTCAGAACACAGAACAAGCTAATAGCACGTCTGTGTTACATTCTATTAACTTTGGAATGTAATTCAGACTTCCGGTTTCTTTTCGTCTTGCGTTTCGTACCACAGATGTTAAATTCATTTATTGTATAGATATTTTTTTACTATATTTTACTATTAAAGCGCCTGGGTACCAGCTGATACGAGTTCGTTGAAAAATCTTGGTGAAAATTGCATATTTCACCTCGGCATGTCCCCCCTTTGTTAAACAATGCTTAAGGACAATTAACAATGCAAAGGCCACAAATAATGAGTTCTGAATTAATTATATTTTTTTCAGAGTCTGTAGAGGTTGAATCACTGAGGCCTGAGCTATGTTTAAATTCCTGGAGGACTTGCTCTTGAAGTTTTGGTCCTGTACCCATAGTCTGATCTATTCACACTATTACTGTAAACAGTCTAACAATGGAACACTCAGAAATAAACTCAATAACTTCAGCGAGGGGGGTGTTATTTTGAGAGTTCTCTTTTTGGGGTCTGACAAAATGCTCTGCAGTCCTTTTCAATGTCGTTTGGATTTGAATATAACTTCCATAACTCACTTCAGTCATTCTGACATAATTTAGGTATAAGTCACAGCAGTTAAAGCACCACCTACCCATCCTGGGGCAAGGTGTGTCACCATGAACACTGCAACAGGATTAAATTTATCTTCACCAGCATATACAGTCAATGACGGATACATAATAGGCTGCAACCACTCGTAAAACTTTTGGGAATCTTCGCACATCCACATTGTATCTTTATCAGGGAAATCCATTCCAAAAATCCTATTAAGACATGGCTTTTCCTCCAAGTCATGTTCCTCATCCTCTTCATAATCTGAGCTATCAGATGCATTATCTGGAACTAGTAAGTGAAAGTGTAATTTGTTTTTTCGTAACTCCCCCTTATCATTAGGATGATTGGTATAATAAGCAAATATTTCTGGGTGAAAATGGAAGATTTCGTCTAGCAGTTCAAGTGGTGTTGGTAGATCTTCCTTGTCCCATGGAAATAACACAGCACATATATCATGATTCCCTTCATTTGCTGAACATTGGGTGCCTAAAAATAAATCCAATTCTTATCTATAAATGCAAGGAACACACCATATAGGCATTTGACCACAATAACATCATCTAAATTATTAGGGCTAGTACTATTTGAAATAAAATTTACCATTGGATATTCCTAACCGTGACAATTCACTTCTCATGTAGATCAATATTTCAAGGGAACGGCATAGACCTTGTAAGGTTTTGACATCACCAGACAAAGGATCTAAACCATGGGGATGAACAACTCGACAGTTCCACATGGAGGGGAATGGACGCATAACATAGATATCATCTTTATTGTCTACATCATCTTCAAAGTAACAATACCTTACAAAATACAAACGAAATTATATGAGCAACTTATAATATGTCATAGAGGCTGGGTAGTCATTAATAATGATGTTCAACCAACTACCATTCATCTGACCACTGTGCCATTGGACCTTCATTTGAAAAGTCAAACTTAATTCCAAGATCAAAATTTCTTTGTATGTACATCTTCCAAAAATACTTGTCATTTAACAATATCTAGAAAAGTAATATGTATACAATCAGTATTTTCACAACTTTGTCTGGCAACAGATTTTTCACTCAACAGTGGGGAATATTGTTAGGAAATAAACCAAGAAAATATAAACATTTATTTACTTTCCAAGCCTTGCAGACTTGAATGCATCTTAAAACATCTCGCAGAGAAAGGTGTATTAAGATGGTGTACAATATATCAACTGGCAGTTGCATGTTTGATGAAAGATCAGCTGGAAGGTCAGGCTTCTGCAACGTCTAAATAAGAATGTTTTAACAATAGAAAAAAATTAAAACCTTAAAGCAGTAGAGTCATTTAAAGATATAACATCTGTCCTGTCACCACCCAATAGATCATCCTTACATGGGTACAAGGTTGCCAATAGATATATTCCGGGAGTTCAAACTGACCTTTCTCACACAACTACTGGTCGTCTCTACTAAAGTATATTTTCCTTTCACAGCCTTAAACGGTTCACGCTTATTCCATGCATTTTTGGTCTTCTCCATAAATTTCTTCTCAAAGTTTTTCACAGCATCTGCTTGGCTAATAGGGCCCTCTAGTTTGCTTTGTCCCTCTGTCCCCTGCAAATATTAAAAAGAATCCATAATACTCTATTAATTTGGCACAAGAAGCTGCTGGAGGATAATTTACTCAGGGAATAAAATAAAGTTAGCATTTAATATCTAACCAAAACCACACACAATAATTATTTACTTCATTACTGATAAAAATGTATTGAAAATACTGACATTTCGACCCCATCTTGTCCACACGTGAAACCCGTTGACGTTTCTTAACAATTGAATGCAGTAGAATTTATCAGACTTTCCATCAACGCAGTTAAGTAAACAAGCATAATTTTGAAAGATTTCTCCGTTTTTTAGTTTACAATGTTCGTCCATCATCATTCCATGCCAAGTTGTCGAAGTTCAAGGGCGCTCTTAAAAAACATCCATCAGGAGCCGGTTGTATAAAAAGGTAGTTAACTTTTAACTATAGTTAGTGGTGAATTAGCCTCTCCTATATTCGCTTCTGTTTTATAATTTTGTATCTAAAGAGTTCTTTTTGACCGCTAGTGTACAATAAAAGATGATTGTCACGATTACTGTTACATACGATAATAGCAACATTTGTGCAGTTCTTTTTGACCGCCAGTGTACAAATAGATCAAGTCAGTGATCGTTACAATTATGAAAGTTCACTTATTGTATTTTATGTACTTGGCCATGGCCATGGGCTTCTTCGTTTTTATCTAAATATTATTGAAAACGGTCTTGGTCACATTGTCAGTGGTCTTGGTTTTTTAAAATATTACTTTTCCCGCGAACACGAGTGAGCGCAAATGGAAGTAATGGAACGGTTAGTGAACTGGAAAACGCGGGTACGGTGCGTGTAGTTTTTTGACGGGTATACTTTGTGATTTTCGAGGCGTTTGCAGCTTAAAAGCTTGTTCACAATATCGAATCTAGTTGCTTAATGAAATTTTCGTTTGTTTTAAAGCAATTCGCACAATATTTGTTTGTTAGGAAACTCTTGCAAGAGTTTGTCCTTAGAAGTTGGAACAGAAGAAGGTAGGATCGAAAGGTAGAACTTTTAAAAATCACTGTTTAACTGCGAAGATTTTACCCTTCCTAAGTAAAATGACAACTTCATACCAACAAAGAAGATTAAGAAGATTAGCCAGATAGCGCTATCCACCAGGTAGTGATTTTTTCAACCGTTCTAAAGATGCTTAAAAAGCAAAAAAAAATTCAGCTTTTGGAACGAAAAATTATCAAAGAGAATCCTCAATTTAGGAATACTAAGACCTAATCAAAGTTATACCCAACAACAGGCGATTTTAAAGCAAGTGACCCCTTGATCAATAAGAGATGATTCATGGTGCGACCTCAGAATATTTTTTACTGGTCATTCAGAACATCATATTGTCGCGTTTGAAGCGCTATTTTGCAATATTGAAGCACACCGAAGATCAGACAATCGGATTGCGTCGCGGCACCTTAAGCTAAAACTCCCGGCCAGGTGATTAGGTGACATATATCCGACGTGAACAGCGTGGTGAAAGAACAATTTAGAACTGATAGAGCTATCCAGTAAATAAAGTTAGTTTAGGCTTCCTCCTGCTGCAACTCTGGATCAATAAGAGATTATCCTTACTGCATGGACGTCTGGGGAGAACGGTTTAACTGATAGAGCTATCCTATCCAGTATAAATTTTCACAGGTTTTTCCTGTGGTAACTGCATGGCTGATCCTCACTGAACCTCTGGACTGAAGAGTGATTTTCTGGCTAGCTTGCAGTGTATATGTGCTGCTGTATGTGAGAATGGTAGCCGTGTAATATAAACTATAAATGCTTCGTGTTCGAATCAACAGAAACTACACAAATTCCAAAATTTCAACTTGCTTAATGTAATCATTTCAATACAGAAAATTGAGAGCTATCAATATTTCTTGAATATTTTTCAGCCCTCTGTATATGAGAATAGTGAATATGAACAATATATTTTTTTTCTGTCAAACTTCCAGACATCAACACAATATTGTACATAACAACAAACAACAACATTCAAAAAATGAATTCTAATAATATACACGAGAAACCAAACATAACTGCCAAGTAAATCCCTGGGTACAATACGTGAAAATGAGCTCAAGAAAAGAAACGTTAATCACAGACAAAATTTCGTTTCAAAATTTCAAATTCCAACAAAAGCTTCACTTCAACAGGGGGACTTTTTTGGGGGACACCCTGTACAGCGCCTATCAAAGAATGGTAACTTAACTTTAAGCGTGCTATTGTGCGTAAATTACTTGATCAGGGACAACAAGTGAAATCAGAAATTTTGTAATAAATAATAATATGATAGATCATGCTTTCCGCTGTTGAATGCTGTAATATAGTTGTTTTCTATTGGTCAGACCAGAGCACGTACTAATTGGGTAGCAAAGATAGCAAGCCAATAGCACGTCTGTATTACATTCTATTAACATTGGAATTATTAATTCTGACTTCCGGTTTCTTTTCGTCTTTACCGCAGACCCTCGTACCACAGATATACAGATATTACATTCAGTTATTGTATAGATATATTTTTTACTATATTTTACTATTAAAGCGCCTGGTTACGAGGATGTTCGTACCATATGGCATATGGAGAAAAAATGAGCTGATAGGAGGTCGTTGAAAAATCTTGCATATTTCATATCTTGCATATTTGCACATTATTGCATATTTCACCTCTGCATGTCCCCCCTTTTGTTAAACAATGCTTAGAACATGGCTGAATGATATGAATGATGATCTAAACCAAAACGCTGAAAATATCAATTGAATCAATATTTATAACTTAAAATACCAACTGGTAAAAATATAATAATAGGTGCAATATATAGACCACCAAACAGTAAAATCGATGAATTTAAGAATAAAATTAATCAAATAATAAGCAAAATAGATCGGGAAAATAAAATATGCTACCTTATGAGGGATTTCAATATTGACTTACTTAAATCAGAATCTTGTGATTATACCAATAGATTTTTGGAAATTCTATACACATCATCATATATGCCACTTATGTTAAGACCAACAAGAATCACGCAACACACGGCCACACTTATTGATAAAATTTTTACAAACGATATTGAAACTATAGATTCCAGTACAAATGGAATAATTTTTTCTGATATCTCTGATCATTTGCCTATCATTCATGCACGAAATCTATTGAAACATAAAAAAACAACACCAATAAAAGAGGTAATATATAAAAGAGTTATCAATGATTACAACACTAAAATATTTTCTGACAGAATCAAAAATACCTCTTGGGAAAATGTTTTCTGTATAGGGATAACTCCACGGAATCTTACAATGAATTCTTTAATATAGTTTCAACTATTTACGAAAGTAGCTTTCCGCTAATTAAAGAGAAGGAAAAAGGCCGGTATTGACAAAAATAAAAGCCCGTGGATGACAAAATGCATCTCTAAGTCTGTGGAAAAAAAACACACGCTATATAAGAAATACCTACAATTACCTACGATCAAAAATGAGAACAAATACAAACGATACAAAAACAAGCTAAACCACATAATAAAAGTAGCCAAAAAGGTACACTACGAAGGTCAACTAGTAAAATACAAATATGATACAAAATCGTTATGGAGAACACTAAACCAAATTATGAACAAGCATGATAATAAAAATAGTTTACCTAAGGAATTTATTGGAACTAGTGCTGGAGAGATAATTAATGACCCACTAATAATAGCAAACAAGTTCAATGAATATTTTGTGAATATCGGACTACAAATAGCGGAAAAACTCCCCAAACGTGATAAAAACCATGACCAATATCTAAATGGTAGCTATAATAATAACTTTTTTCCGCAACCAATAACCAAATATGAATTGGAAAATGAAAGTAAAAGCTTAAATCCCAATAAGAGTCCGGGATACGATAGTATAAGCGCAAAAGTTATTCAGAAGGTTATGGGTGAAATTTCTGAACCTCTCTCGTATATTTACAATTCAACTTTTAGTAGTGGGAAAATTCCTGATAACTTGAAAAAAGCGCTAATTACACCTGTCTACAAAGCAAATGAAAAAAAACAATTTAAAAATTATCGACCCATATCTGTTATAACTTGTTTTTCAAAAATATTGGAAAAACTAATGTACAAAAGATTAATTAAATATATCGAGAAAAATAAAATATTATCACAACATCAATATGGATTTAGAGAAAATAGATCCACTGAACTTGCACTCATTGAACTTACAAACAAGCTTACTAAAGCAATCGATCATGGAGAATTCACAATAGGAATTTTTCTTGACTTGTCAAAAGCATTCGATACAATTAATCACAAGATTCTGATACAAAAACTTGAACACTATGGAATACGTGGTGTAGCAAAACAATGGTTTCAAGATTACTTAACAAACAGAATGCAAATTGTCAAATACAATCAAGTTAGGTCTAAGGAGATGTTAATTCAAACTGGGGTCTCACAGGGATCAATTCTCGGACCTATTCTTTTTTTACTCTATATGAATGACATCGAAAATTGTACAAAACTACTTTCATTTGTACTATTTGCTGATGACACAAATATATTCTATAGCAATCAAAATCTGAAAACAGTTACTGAAGTTGTACAAACTGAAATTAATAAAATAGCTAAATGGCTGAATGTCAATAAATTATCCCTAAATATTTCTAAAACAAAACTTATCCTTTTTAGATCCTCTAATAGGAAACCTACGCATGATGTTAAAATTACAATAAATTACCATAACATTGAACAGGTTAAAAGTACCAACTTTCTCGGTATAATTATTGATGAATGCTTGACTTGGAATAATCATATAATAAAAGTAACAAAAAAAATCGCAAGAGGCTCCGGAGTAATAGCAAAAATCCGTCATTATGTTAACCGAAATGCAATAAAGTTAATTTACTATGCTTTAGTACTATGCTTTAGTGTATCCATATCTCATCTATGGCAACTTAGTCTGGGGAATCACCTACAAAACTCGAATTCAAAAAATAATGAATATCCAAAAAAAATCAAATCTGGAACATACTGAACAGATTTTTAGAGATTTGTGCATCCTAGATATCTTCAAAATTAATGACTATTTAACTGGCAGTTTATGTTTCGATATCACCATCTTAAAAACCTACCTGATGGGTTTGGAAATTTTTTTGTTACTAGTAATCAAATTCATCAACATAATACGCGAAATTCATCAAGCGGTTAATAGAACAAACTACGCAAAACATACTCTCTCAAATAAAGGAACTGATGTATGGAATTCATTTAAATAAAAATTAAAGAAACAAAAACTTGCAATGCTTTCAAAAAACAAGTTAAGAAACATTTGTTACTGATTTAAGATACATCCTAAGATCTTCAGAATGCATTCTATAACATATTATATCAAACAACAATATGACTTCTTGAGTTATATCTGCAGTCTGCACTGTAATTATTTTTTCTTTCCCTGCTTCCCTTATTTGTAAATAGTATTGTGTAAGTAATCATCTTTGTGATTATACTGATTTTACAGTAGACATTATTAGAAATAGTTAAATTTATGTATCATCACTAGGGGCCTAGCCTCAAAAGCCTAACTAGCTAGGTTTCTAGTAGGTTTCTAGCCTAACATTATTATAAAATCATATGTAGTATTTAATTATAAAACTGTACAAAGGGGAATAAAAAAAAAACAAAAAAAAACAATTAACGATGCAAAGGCCACAAATAATGAGTTCTGAATTTCAATATTTTTTACAGAGTCTGTAGAGGTTGAATCACTGAACTATTTTTACATTCCTGGAGGACTTGCTCTTGGAGTCTTGGTCCTGTGCCCATAGTCTGATCTATCCACACTAACAGTCTAACACTGGAGCACTCAGAAATAAACTCAAGGACTTCACTCTTCAGGTAGGGAGTGTTAGTTCGATATATAGTTCTCTTTTTTGGCGGTCTGACAAAATATGCTCTGCAGTCCTTTTCAACCTCGTTTGGATTTGAATATTAGAATAACTTCCATAACTCACTTCACTCATTCTGACATAATTTAAATATGAACTTTGTATAATATACTATATTTAGGTATAAGTCACAGCAGTTAAAGCACCACCTACCCATCCTGGGGCAAGGTGCGTCACCATGAATACTGCAACAGGATTAAATTTCTCTTCACCAGCATATACAGTCAATGACGGATCCATAATAGGCTGCAACCATTTGTAAAACTTTTGGCAATCTTCAAACTTCTGCATTGTATCTTTATCAGGGAAATCCATTTCACAAATCCTATTAAGACATGGCTTTTCATCCAAGTCATGTTCCTCGTCCTCTTCATAATCTGAGCTATCAGGCGTATTATCTCGAACTAGGTGAAAGTTTAATTTGTTTTCTTGTAACTCCCCCATATCATTAGGATAATTGAAATAATAAGCAAATATTTGTGGGTGAAAATGGAAGATTTCGTCTAGGAGTTCAAGTGGTGTTGGTAGATCTTCCTTGTCCCATGGAAATAACACAGCACATATATCATGTTTCCCTTTATATTTTGCTGAACATCGGGTGTCTAAAAATAAATCCAATTCTTATCTATATATGCAAGGAACACACAATGCATATAGGCATTTGACCACAATAACATCATCTAGCTACATTATTAGGGCTAATACTATTTGAAAATTGAAATAAAATTTACCATTGCACATTCCCAAACGTGACGATTCATTTCTCATGTAGATCAATATTTCAAGGGAACGGCAGAGACCTTGCAAGGTTTTGACATCACCAGACAAAGGATCTAAGCCATGGGGATGAACAACTCGACAGTTCCACATGGAAGGAAATGGACGCATAACATAGATATCATCTTTATTGTCTACATCGTCTTCAAAGTAACAATGCCTTACAAAATACAAAATACAAAGGAAATTATATAAGAAAACTTATAATGTCATAGAGGCTGGGTATATTCATTAATTAATGATGTTCTACCATTTATCTGACCACTGTGCCATTGGACCTTCATTTGAAAAGTCACACTTAATTCCAAGATCAAAATTTCTTTGTATGTACATCTTCCAAAAATACTTGTCATTTAACAATATCTAGAAAAGTAATATGTATACTGTATACATACTCAGTATTTTCACACTTTGTCTGAAAACAGATTACCCACTCAACAGTGGACAATGCTAGCTAGGATATAAACCAATTAATTTTCACAGGCAAGAAACAGCCTCATGCCCAGGCGCTTCAATAGTAAAATATATGTTGCATTCAGTTATTGTATAGAGGTCATATTAAAGCGCCTGGGTTCGAGGCTGGGCAAGAAAATAAAAACCATTTATTTACCTTCCAAGATTTGCAGACTTGAACGCATCTTAAAACATCTCGCAGAGAAAGGTGTAAGAAGATGGTGTACAATATATCAACTGGCAGTTGCATGTTTGATGAAAGATCAGCTGGAAGGTCAGGCTTCTGCAAGGTCTAAATAAGAATGGTTTAACAATAGAATAAACCATAATCTGTCCTGTCACCACTCAATAGATCATCCTTACATGGGTACAAGGTTGCCAATATATATATTCCGGCAGTTCAAACCATATGTTCAAACTGACCTTTCCCACACAACCACTGGTCCTCTCTACTAAAGTATATTTTCCCTTCACAGCCTTAAACTGTTCACGCTTATTCCATGCATTCTTGGTCTTCTCCATAAATTTCCTCTCAAAGTTTTTCACAGCATCTGCTTGGCTAATAGGGCCTTCTAGTTTGCTTTGTCCCTCTGTCCCCTGCAAATTAAAAATAATCCATAATACTCTATTAATTCGGCACAAGAAACAGCTATATCGTGGCCGAATCTTTCTGGAGGATAATTCAGTCAGGGAATAAAATAAAGTTAGCATTTAATATCTAACCAAAACCACACACAATAATTATTCACTTCATTACTGATAAAAATGTATTGAAAATACTGACATTTCGACCCCATCTTGTCCACACGTGAAACCCGTTGACGTTTCTTAACAATTGAATGCGGTAGAATTTATCAGATTTTCCATCAACGCAGTTAAGTAAACAAGCATAATTTTGAAAGATTTCTCCGTTTTTTAGTTCACAATGTTCGTCCATCATCATTCCATGCCAAGTTGTCGAAATTTAAGGGCGCTCTTAAAAAAACCAGGGCGCTGTTAAAACACTTTTAAAACACGGGCGTAGAGACGCGCTCATTATCTCTATGCTCATTATGACCTGATCTATGTGTGATCACTGTGTGTGATGCACTTGAGGACTGGATCTAGCGCGCGTTTAACAAGAAAAGCAAGAAGTCAAACGAAATTATGGCGGCAAAAAGAAGTTTATGCAACTTTGGGAAACAGGGTGATGAGAGAGGTAAGATTTACTTCTATTTGAAATTGGAATATTAATTTTCAAAAAAAATACTCCCTTGTGCAATTTAAGAACATCTTGATGAAGGAACTTTCCCCATCATTGAGAAAATATGTTTCGTTTGCCTGTGATTTCCTATTCAGTCATAGGTAGCCCAATGCGCTGCATTACGTACGTCACTTAGGTCACGTATATAGTATATAATAATATTATATACTATATACGTAACCCGAGTGACGTACGTAATGCAGCGCATTGGGCTACCTATGATTCAGTTTGACTAACAGCAAACTTTTTTACACACGGTAAAGAAATCAAAATAGATGCTGCGTGAACACTAGGTAGCCTTAGGTGAATTTAATGACATTAAATGGTTTCAAATTTATTCAGCTTTACGATGCAATATATGCCAAGATCGGCTTTTACCGGCTTTTTACCTAAAATTTTGTACAATCAAAGATAGCTAGAGTTATTATCTGTCACATAGGCCTTAAAAGGAGACCGGCCTATTGTTTAAGTAAGTTACTTCGGCCTCGTTTTGTCATGTTTTGACTCGAAGAAGACGAAGGCGATGGAGCAATGTTTGGCCGTGAAATCCGAACCGCGGAAAATTATATTTTGATTTATATCTTTTTCCCTAGGTGAAAAAAGTTGCCTAAAATTTTGTACAATCAAAGATAGAGTTATTATCTGTCACATAGGCCTTAAAAGGAAACCAGCTTTTCGTTTAAATCAGTTATTTCGGCCTCGTTTTGTCATGTTTTGACTCGATCGCCTTCGCATGGCTGCATCGCCTTCGTCTTCTTCAAGTCAAAACATGACAAAACGAGGCCGAAATAACTTACTTAAACATAAAAGCTGGTCTCCTTTTAAGGCCTATGTGACAGATAATAACTCTATCTTTGATTGTACAAAATTTTAGGCAACTTTTGTCACCTAGGGAAAAAGATATAAATCAAAATATAATTTTCCGCGATTCGGATTTCACGGCCAAACATTGCTCCATCGCCTTTGTCTGTTTCGAGTCAAAACAAGACAGAGCGAGGCCGAAATAACTGATTTAAACAAAAAAGCCGGCCTCCTTTTAAAGCCTAATTTAAAGTGATATTTACATCTTTGCTGCTTTGTTACAGCTTTATTATATTATATTAAAAATAGAACTATTTTAAGAATGCAATTTGCTGACAGTTTATGTTGCAATGTTTACAGTGACTTTTGTTTTCCTTTTTGCGAACTTTTACATTTATGCAAAGTGCGTTGGACGTGATAGCAAAAAAAGCCGGTAAAAGCCGATCTTGGCATATATTGCATCGTAAAGCTGAATAAATTTGAAACCATTTAATGTCATTAAATTCACCTAAGGCTACCTAGTGTTCACGCAGCATCTATTTTGATTTCTTTACCGTGTGTAAAAAAGTTTGCTGTCAGTCAAACTGAATAATTATGAAATCACTGGCAAACGAAACATATTTTCTCATTGATGGGGAAAGTTCCTTCATCAAGATGTTCTTAAATTGTGTAGTATCCTGGCATAGTAGCCTAGTCCTAAAATGACATTATAACTATATTCTAATTTATGCATGGAAATACTTATATAAACAAGTGTATTAGGAGTTAGTAATAGATAGGGATGAATAAAGTATTATCGATATTCTACAATGGCGACGAGGATGGGATTCCATTGAAATGTTTCCAGGAAGTAGCATATCCGTAGCGTCAAATGGTGATAGAGTGAGTATGGATCACACAAGTCAAGAACTTCAAAATGATCCAGCTGGTGCACAAGAAGATAATGAGGAGGTGATTCCTGAAGAAACAGTCGAGAACAATGTTCCACCCAGGCGATCCACTCGAAATAGAGTTAATACAAGGGATACAATTTATAGAGACTATCTTGTGTAATTTATTAACATTTAAAAAAAAAAAAACTAGTTTGAACACAGGGGAGGTGTAGTATCCTGGCATAGTAGCCTAGTCCTATAATGACATTATAACTATATTCTAATTTATGCATGGAAATACTTATATAAACAAGTTTATTAGATAGTAAAGGAGTTAGTAATAGATAGGGATGAATAAAGTGTTATCGATATTCTACAAATTGCACAAGGGAGTATTTTTTTTGGAAAATTAATATTCCAATTTCAAATAGAAGTAAATCTTACCTCTCTCATCACCCTGTTTCCCAAAGTTGCATAAACTTCTTTTTGCCGCCATGATTTCGTTTGACTTCTTGCTTTTCTTGTTAAACGCGCGCTAGATCCAGTCCTCAAGTGCATCACACATAGATCAGGTCATAGTGCGGGCGACTTTTCAGGCGACTTTGCAATAGACCATTCTTATAATGACGTCAAACGCGGAAAGTCTGGTGTTACACGAAATTTAATTGGCTCCGCAAAACTATCGAGCCAATCAAACTTCGTGTAACATCAGACTTTCCGCATTTGACATCATTATGAAAAAGATCTATTGGTCATTCGTGCCTCTTACGGCAAATATCTAGCATGTTTGATAATTTCTGCCTCGCGTGCCGAAATCTTTCCGTGTGCGGCAAACTGAAAGCTATCTGCTTATGCGTATGCGTAATATACGAAAGTAAAGTTAGTAAACACCCAAGATAGCGGTGGAAACAAAGCAAAACGAATTGGTGGCGCTGAGGCCATATTGGAAGACAAACTGGTTGATCTTTGGCCAGAATACAGGTGTTTATACGATGTGAATTCTACAGATTTTAGAAACAGAGAGAAACGGGAATGCACTTTTGCAGAAATAGCTAGTAAGCTTTATTAAACAGGTAATATAATCAATAGCACTTGGATTACGGTTTTTAATAAAGCGGAATTCTAGTCTAGTTCGACGCAACAGCAACAAAAATAAGTTAAATAACAACACCTCTTCGTCTTCACTTTCATCCATAATTTTGTTTCTGAGTGCTAATTTTGAGAGCTATCAATGTTTCTTAAATATTTTTCAGCCCTCATGCAGTATATGAGAATAGTCATAGCAAACATGTTATAGCAAACAAACAACAATATATTTTTTTTGTGAAACTTCCAGACATCAACACAATATTGTACATGTAAACAACAAACAACAACATTCAAAAAATCAATTCTAATAATATACACGAGAAAACCAAACACAATTGCCAAGTAAATCCCTGGCTACAATACGTGAAAATGAGCTCAAGAAAAGAAACGTTAATCGGAGACAAAATTTCATGCTAAGTAGCCTAAGTTCTCGTACAATCATTATTTGTATATAAGTTTCGACAGCACGGGACAGTACAGTACAGTGTAGTACAGTGAAGTTGGGCCGGTTGTACGAAGGTTGGATAGCGCTATTCACCGGATAGTGATATTTTCAACCATTCTAAAAATGCTCGAAAAGCGATAAAATTTTATCTTTGGGACAAACAATTATTAAAGAGGATCCTCGATTTAGGAATACTAAGATTTCATGAAAGTTATTGCAAATAACAGGCGATTTTAAAACGATTAAAATACCATTATCCGGGTTTCATACAACCGGCCGCAGGACAAGACAGTGCAGTGCATTGCAGTGCAGTACAGTGCAGTATAATACAATACAGGACGGTACAGGGACGGTACACGCAAGTACAATGTAGTTATAAACAAACAACACATTAAGAAAGATGGGAGTGAAAGATGGCTAGGTTTAGATGGAATATTGCGATGAACTATATTAGTAACATCAATCTTGAAAAAAATGTAGGGCAAGCCACCCTACACAAAGTAAATGTTAAAATATATTTTAAAACTGTACGAGATAATAGCCCACGGCTGTATAGAAACACACAAATTCAGTTTCGACTACAACCTTTCCGTAGTTTAGTTCAATGGTGAAATTGCATCATTAAATGAAGTTTTGTTCTTTTTTGCAAGGACCTGCCTCGGCTGGCTGGTTTTAAATTTAGCTTTTAACCCTCAGCAGACAAAGGCTCAGAATCCACCGAAATAATGAAATAGGATCAATGGTTAGAGTTGGGAAAAAAATTAAATTGAATTGTCCTCATACATTATAAACATAAAGTATCGAAAACTCTACGTCCTAAGACGGCCTAAAGTGAGACAATAGTGCTATGAATATCGGTTAAAGGTTCTTGTGATCGCGCATCTCTATACCAAACGTTAAATGTACCAATCACGTACTGAGGCTGTGAAAATGAAAATCCCGCAAAATTCAACAAAATTGTGAAACAAAGTTAATAGCAAGCATGCTGTAAACCTTTCGTTAAAAGAAACATTTGAATACGCTTTCAATTACAGCAAAACAATGCTCACTCTATAACATTTTGTAATGATATAAATTATTTCGTGAATTCCTAAGGATTTGCTAGATCATATTTTGACTTGGGGAAGCGATATCTTTAATCCGGGTAGAAGGATTAGAAAATAGTTCTATTAACCATAAAAATAAATAAATTAAATAAATAAGTCTTTTCTTGTTGCAGATACATAATCATACATTCTCCCGAGGAAACGACGACTTTTTAACGCCTAGGGCACTTACAAAGATTCTTTATGTTCTCTGGCCTCGAAACCTTAATGCGAAACCTCGCCTATTTGCAGGGAATACCATCTGAACTCTGAAGAACCGCAGAGATGATCTTCGCTGGTGGGGAATTGACTGAGAACTTCCAATGAGTCAATGCTGAAAAAGGGAATCCGCCGATCTATCGGAAATTTGGCGTCATGGCCTATTACCAACACTGCAGGCAGAATACCGAAACATTCCTCTAGCTCAAAGACTCAACGGGTTCGTCGTGGAAAATCTGGGGAACTGAGAAGAGTAATAAAAGAGAATGGGGCACCTTTTAAAGAGTATAATAAAGGAAATAATTATAAAAAAGGGAACCCT